TCAGTATTGCTCAGTTTCAGCTCAAGTGGGAACACAACGCGGTAGGAGAGTTTCTTGTACCGGCCAAGCTGCTCAATGTACTTGAACCGTTTCAAATGGATAACCAGGATGTGAGGAGGCTTCTTTATCTTCATTCTCTTTTGGGCCTCTTGCAAACTGCAAGTAAATCAACATCATCCGTAATTATTGCTATATGCATATTCATCATTAAAATGACTATGATATGCATCTTTGGAACCATTGAAATATTAGACTTTAAACTCTGCATCTATTAACTTAACTATTTACAAAAATGAAACAGTTAATTGAACCATGCAAGTTTGATTTTTTAATCATTAGGGAAAATGCATAATCATGAGTTTAGTCTTTCGAACATCTCATTTAAGTCCATGACCACAACTGACATCTTTTACTAAAAACACCCTCAATTTAATGTGTTTGGTCTTGGCTTGCTTGTCTGCAACTCTCACACATTATAGTAATCAAGAGAACTATCAATCCTCATTGTAAACTACTTCTACAAACTGAATCCTAAAACCAAGTGAGCAGGCATTCAAAATATGATACATCTACAAGAAAACATTATAAATGAAAAGTACCTGCAGCACTTATCACAAAAAAACTTGTCTTCTGCATTCAATGTCTCGGTAGAACTGAAATTTTTCAAACAGCTAGTTATTGAGCTATTTTGTTCAATATCAAGGCTCAAATCCAAGAAAGCTTCGTCTCTTGCAGTCACCGTCTCACATCGCAAGCATCTTGTCTCATTGGTAAGTATTCCCTGTCTCAAATTGCCCAATCAGATAATGAAATTCTTCCTAAAATACATGAATGCAAAACAAGGAAACCCACACACATACACAGAGGAACTCAGAGAGGAGAGAAACAAATGTAAAAGCAAATACAATGCAAAACTAAAACAATTGATCAGAATATAGGAATACAACCAGCAGACTTACCTGGAAATTCTTGTGAACCCAGGTAACCAGAGGCTCTTTTTTAACACCATTTGCCTGAGGATTCTTTGGCTCATTTGCAGTCTTTTCCGATGGTAATGAAGTTTCTTCCTCCTTTTTTGCAGCTTGAGCCTCTTTCTCCAGTATGTCAACAAGTTCATTCAGCAAAAAATTCAAGAACTCATGAGCATCCTACCAAAAATCATAAAGAGAGAAAAAACAGAGACAAATAGTTATTCCCTTCAGCATTAAGCAATAAGCAATAAGCAATAAGCATTAATCATTATTATGATAAAGGAAAGCCAACTTTTCTGTGACATGCCAGAAAAAGTTACAACATTAGACCAATTGGAAACCTTTAATTTCATAGAAGAGATCATCAACTTAGAGGAAGTTCTTCAGCCAAATAAATATAAAGCACCCTACTACCTGGTGCATATAGCTGCGGAAAAGCTCATTTTGTTTCTTCAATCTCTGTACAAAACGCTTTGGAGCAATGACACCTGTCTTCTTCTTCTGTGAATTTATCTAAACATAAAGAACAACCAGCAATTGGCCCCATTAGAAATCAAGTATAAGCCACATATGTCACACAACTACAGGAGAGGGAGAGGTGGAGGGAAAATATACCATAGCAATTAATAACCTTTGTTAGACTGAAGACAATCATCTTCCCCACTACAGTTAAAACTTAGGACTCTCAATGGCCAAAGAGAAAACCTGAACAACACATTTTGCATGCATCTAAGCAATTTCCTAAAGGACCATACTTCCAATACTGAAGTATCAAACCAAACCATTTAAAAGGAGTTTACAAAAAAAGCAGAGATTAAGGAGCACTTTATGTTCCATTAATCATGAAGGGGGTTTTAACGAGGCCTGCCATTCCTATCAAAAAAAAAAAAAAAAGCAGAGAAAAACATAAGCAGTTGCTAGAAAGGATAGGATTTGCAGAAAATAAAATGAATTATTTTAAAAAGATATTAAAAAAATGCATGAACACCATTCCTTCTTGTACAAAGATGGGTCCTTGAGCAAATGTAATGAAAATCTTTTAGTAATAATCCATTTAACAACAATAATTATCTTTATTTCCGATCACATATTGTTAAAAGTTTACATAAGGTCCATTTTTCATCATATCATTAAGATGATATATTGGGCTTCATACTTCTAACTAATTGCACATGAGCTCCTAGGATGCCTAATAATAAAATAAAAAAATTAAATGAATCAAATGGGAGATTAATTCATGGAAACTAAGGCAAGGCCAAAACAAGGCATTGCAACTTAAGCACATTGTAACACCACTGGCTTACCAGAAAACAAATTATCACTAGGCAGAAAAAGTAATCCGCTCTAAAGAAATATGGGCTGCTCATCAAAGATAGAGGGGTACAACCCAAGATCACTACACTTCTGGAGGGGTTTTTACCTGTGTAAACAGATCTGCCAAGCAAGTCAGCAGATTATCTTCAGCATCAACACCATTTTTATGAATTGCATAATATTCTAGCAGCTGTTCACGAAATGGGACACAAAAATAAAGTGCCTGAAAAAAATAGCAATGAAATGAGACTATCATGATTATTGAAGCTGAGAGGCTATTGTTGCCCAACAACTTTTAAATAAAAAGAACACTATTATTAAATAACATAAGGTTGAACAACAAACTGTAAGTTACCTTATTAGTAATGATGAATTAGTTAATCATTTATGCTGTCAGCAACAAAATCCACCCTAGACAATTTTTTTCTCCTTTCCTAATATTAGTTTATATCTATCATGGTATCAACCTCTCAATACGCATATCTTGAATATAAACCTTCTAATGTCAATCTAAATTGTGACAACCATGCCACCCGAATGAAGCACAGCATGCAATTACCAGATAATTTCATTCCCATCAATTCCCTTGAGGACTTCCCAAATTTACTTACTTTCAACTGCTATCAGTGGAGCAAGTGAACCATTAGTCAAAACCATTAGAATCCAAAAAATACGAACCGTGAATATTTGTAAACAAAACAATAATAAACATGTACCAGAATATATTTGTATAAACAAATATTATTGAAAAGAAATTGTTCGAACCTAAAAATTCAAAATCAATCTAATCGGAATATTAAAATATACATAAAAACCATCAAATTCATTATATATATTTTTAAAAGGGCAAAACGTGACGAATGGAATTAGATTCTAAATTGAATTGCTACTGAAAGAAGAAGTGTAACAAATAAGAACCTGCAAAACGCTGTTGCAATAGCAAGTGTTGCCGAAGTTCTCAAGGCCAAAATATCGTTCGCCTTCAGGGAACTGATCGCCCAATGCTTTCTCGAGTTTTGAACCCGCTGCCCCCATCTATAAAACTAAATTTAAGTCTAACTCAGATCTTCTCCCGATCGATTCAGCTCAGTGATTCTAACTCGCTATTCACGATTGCAATTATCTCTCCCTCTTCTTCAGTTTTGATTCGGACTACTTCTAGGGTTTGTTTAGTTGAATTGTGTTTTTTTCTTCCTTTTATTCGTGGTTTCTATTTCCAATTTGGGGCAGTGGAAATGAACCGAACGTTTGTCTCGTTTTCTTTTGAGACGGCTGTTGGGACGGAAGGGATAAAATAGGTAAAAATACTATATCAGTCTCTGTATTATATCTCTAATTGTATTTTAGTCCTTCTACTGAAAAACTAGGTTTAATTACGAAATAAGTACCCAAACTATACTTTTTATTGACTATAATTGTCTAAAGGTTTTTTAGTCAGAATAAATGTCTAACATTTTATTTTCTTCTCATTTCTAGTTTGCCTATTAAAAATAAATTGTCCTATAAATATGTGACGCGTGATCTCTTTTCAAAAAATATATCCAATTCAATAATTGTCTAATTAAAATTTCAAAAATATTTTAGGGATAAAATGCAAATTTCCCAAAACTTTGAGAGCGTCAAGGCTCCTATCATTGCCCCTGATCTTATAAATTATTAAATATGCCATCTTAATTATTAGAACTTTTTCCTTCCAAAGAAAATCATGAACCCAACAATAGCACTTCATAAGTTAAAGTGAATAAAATAAAATCAAAGGTGACCACATTGTACTTTACCCCAATTTTTTATGGGTAAACTATAAGTTTAGTATCCTAACTATCACTTTTATTCCGTTTTGTTCATCCAATTATTATTTTTTTAAATCACACATAATGTTATGTTTTGGTTATTCGTTGTTAAAAAATTAACAGAAATATTGATATGATATTTTTATAAAAAATCAGTGATGATGTGATATTACCTTATGCAGGGCCGTGGCTAGCTTGTCGGGGGCCCTGTACAAATTCTTATAAAGGGCCCCATATTTTCTAGATAATAATAATAATAATGAAGTATATATAAAAATAATATTAAAAAATAATAAATAATAATAAAAATGATTAAATTGAAAAGAGAGTCAAATTCAAGGGTCAATTTGTGAAAAAAATGGAATTAGAATCGAATTTAGGACCCAAATAAGCTTTTTAAAAGGTACGAGGACTAAAAATGTAGTTTATCCTAAACAAAACACGCGGAACAAAAGTGGTTCGGTTCGGGTTGGTGGGTCTCCACAGGTCCAACGGGCTTACCATATAAGCCAAACAACTTTTGAAATTTCATTTGCTTTCCTTTGAATCAAAAGTTCCCCTCTCCCCCTTTTATATTTTCTCTCGAATGATCTTCGGTAATGAAGAACAAAAGCCTGAGTTCTTGATGAACCCAGAATATGGTGGTGGGTCCCCTATTTTTTGGGGGCCTTGCGCGGTCGCGCACCTTGCGCCGCCTCACCTACACCTCTGCCTTATGATGACACATCATCAACACCGTTAATTATTTAACGGTATGTAACCAAAAGAAACGTTGATTTTGAAATAAAAAATAGTTGTATGACCTAAAACAAAATAAAACTGATAGTTAAAGTACTATTTGTATAGTTTATCATTTATATTAACGAGAAAAAGAGGAGGAGAAATAGATGCCTTATCCATTTACACGAGTGGGGAGAAAGTGAGCTAATAGTGAAAAAAAAAAAGCAAACGAAGATAATACAGCTGAAGCCAAAGAATTAAAGATGTTGAGCTATTCTGTTGCTTCCCCAACAACCCTTACTTTACCTCCGAATCCCATGTTTTCAATTGCCAAAACTTCCTTCACCGGCGTCAGAATCCAGCGCTTTTGTCCCCAGCGGTTGCCTTCTCAGACGACCTCTTTTCGAAGACCATCAGCGTCTTCGTCGGTGGTAACGATGGCAAAGAGAGAAGAAGAAATGAAGGAAATAAGAGCTAAAACGACTGAAGAAATCAACGACGATGTGGTTGAGTTAAAAGGAGAGCTTTTGATGCTTCGTCTTCAGAAATCGGTTCGCAATGAGTTCAAGTCTAGCGAGTTTCACCGTATGCGCAAAAGGGTATTATTTCCCCCTACATTTGGTTGTTCTTTGGTCTTTTTTCAACAGTTGAATCAGATTTCAAATGGGATTTCAGAATCTGGGTATACAATACTTGAATTTTAAAAGTGTGTTTGGAACTTTGCTTAGAACAAATATGTCAGTGTGCTTCAAGTTCCCCAAAATCTAAACTTTGGACGTTGCATTGAGAATGACAGCTATATTTTTTTAATTGATAATCAGCAATATATATACACTAAACGTTAGCAATTTTTTATGAACTACGAAAATAAATTATGAACCTCTGTTGTCAATGCTGTGTATTTGCCTTCAAATTGTGCACCAAAGAATGAATGCAGTGAACTTTATGCATTGTTAGTAGCATAAGCGAGTTCATATAATTGTAGATATACATCTGTGTGTCGCGCAGCATTGTGTCCACAAGCTGGTATTGTCCTGTTTGGATACCAATCGGTCCTATAAGGTTTCGTCACTGGAAGTTTTGCTATGATCAAATGGTACCAGAAAATTTTCAAGTGGACTCCTGTATGGGTAGGAGGTCTTGCGTTTGAACATGGGGAGGTACATTTTTTAGAGACAACCTTGTGCGACAATGGGTACAAAAATGAAAAAAAAAACACGACAATGGAAGGATAAGAGGTAAAACCAGGTTGAGTTATGTTTGTTGCTTTTCAATACATTCAGCAGCATTATTCACATACATAGGAGTTAGGACCTACCTATGAAGTGGTAATTAAAGCTGTATTAGATTGTAATTAACAGAAATTATAATAATGACGAGGATCCTTCGAGTTCGTTTCACTCATGATTGAGATTCTTTGGGTTTTCTGTCTACTTACAGCATGGACTTTAGTTGTATATTATTTATTTCCTTTGTAAAGATTACAGGTTGTTCTACGACCGTTTAAGAGTTTAATTCAGTGTTATTACAAGGATGCAAGTGTTCTTGTCCTTGACAGATTGCTCGTTTGCTGACCATTAAACGGGAAAGAGAGATTGAGGAGGGCATCACCAAGCGATTGTCAAGAAAGCTTGATCAGCAATGGAAGAAAAGCATTGTTGTGAAGCCACCTCCATCTTTGATTAAGTTGCGAGAGCAGGAGGCAGCTAAAGAAGCCGAGAAATCTGCTGCTTGAGCCACTCCAAATACTTCCACAATTTCATGGCTTTAAAAAAGGGCTCTTTAAATTGTTGCTGATTATAATTTTACACCATTTTGTGAGTGTTACTGAAGCTAGGGTTTTTTTAGTTTCCCTAAGATTGTTGATTACCCTATTTATTATTTCTTTCATGGGGAAGCTTTTATTAAAGACTCGTTTCAACAAATTGATTCTGAGTTTTCATTTGTTGTCTTCACCAGCCAAGCTTGTGGAGGGAACCTTCATTTTTGGCCAATGAACAGATACAGGTAGTACATAGCACCAATATAAAAGAAAGCTAAGAGCACTCCACACATCGAACACATTGCCGATTTAAATTCTGCTGCCAGAAAAAGAAAAGAAAAATCAAGATCACCATGGAAAAAGGGGCAGATCCAAATCTCACAACCAAAACCTTAAACATTGACTCGGATTACAGAAAAGCACCAAGTTATGCTCGATCGCCTCTGTAATCACCACCAAGCTCATCTAGACAACTCACTTGCTCGCCGATCCGGCTCAGCTTACTCCTCTGAGTCCACCTCTTCTTTCCTCTCTCGCTTCTCCCATTCCAACATTGACTCCCAACTCGCTGAGTCCCTTCTCATTGCTCAATCCGATCCATCTCGGCTCAAGTCTCACTTCACGGATATCTCCTCCTCCATCTCGGATCTCGAAGAACTCGTTGCCGAGAGCTCTTACTTCCTTCCTTCTTATGAAGTCCGCTCTTCTCTGAAAACCATCTCCCATTTAAAGCAGAATCTCGAGACTTTAAACTCCGAGAGTGTTGGATATATTAATGCGTGTAACGTATGTATGCCCGATATATTAAGGGTCATGTCATATCGGAAACGGATGTGTACTTCAAGATAAGAGCTGGAGCAATACACCTATATGCTCAATCTAGTATTAAAGTTTTGGTGAGATGCTCGTTCAAAGATCAAACTTTTGATTTGTGCTAATTTAGACTCTAACATGTTCAAAAGTTTATAGTACGTGCTTAAAACTTTTCAGTGATAAATGATCATGTAATTTCTCATATATTATTGGTGCAAATATTTATCACTATCCTCTGTTAATTTTGTTTCTTTCACTGATTTTGGGTTAAAAAAGAATGGATTTTTTTTCATTTACAGCATATCAAATAATTATCTTATGTTTATATTTTTTAGCAAATTTTATAAATATAAATTCAGACAAAATTATTAAACGTATTAAAACCATAAACAATAATATAATTCATGTATTAAACCTGCCATGTTGCTTTTGTTATCGTGTGTGATTTGTCGACTCATCCATCCTATTCTTATGATTCCCACTTTTGCGGTGGAGGAATATCTACGTAACGAAGTTTTTATTTTATTTTTTGCTTGTCTTGTTTACCAAACTTTGATTCCTCCATACATTTTAAATCAATCTCATACGCACGTTCATGATTGACATATATTTGATGTTATAACATGTGCATTTATATTTTATTATTTAATAAAACATTTTATTTTATAATTAAAACATATAAAAATAAAATATTATTATAATTGAAAAAATAAATCATAATTTAGATAATTATATGTTTATATTAATAGTGTTTAAAAGATAAATGTATAAATGTTGTAAAGTATTTATAATATTATAAAAATTAGAATAATAAACAATAAAATTTATTGTTTTAAAATAAAATAATTATTTATTTATAATTTTTTACGAAGGTGAAATAAATTAAATCAATTTTTTTAAACTTGAAACTGCCGGCATTTATTAAAATTAAAAAATGGTTCTAATTAAAGATTAAAGCAATAAAACAACAAAACGTAAAAACTAAGAAACGAAAAAAGGAAAGCAAAATAAAGCTAAAGTTGCCAGCTGTTCCTCTCCCCGGCATCTGAAAAACAGTCGATGATCGTCCACAGCAAGGAGAAACTAAGCATGAAACATGGTAGAATTAATAACAAAATGTTATTTCTTTAAAAAAAATTGTTTTTTAAGAATTAATTTATTTGAAAATTTGTTTTTTAGAATTAGTTTTAACAATTAATTATTTAAATTTAATTATATATGAATTTCCATATAAAATAACAAGAATTGTGATTTATTTAAACAATTATTTTAAGTGAGAAGAAGACCTTAGACTATTATGAGTACTTTTCTTTTGAAGTTGGAAGAAGACCCCAGACTATTATCAGTATCCACTGAACTTCATCTGTCAGTAAACCGGAATTCGTAGGGGGAAAAGAACGACAAAAAAAGTTGGCGCTTTACTTTATGCCAAGAAAACTTTAAAGCCGTCTTCTTTTCTTCTTCATTTAATTTTTGCGTTCAGAAAAATACAAAAGATATGACAAAGTGTTTCAGCTTGACTGCAACGCGGGACTGGTGTTTCCGCTACAGCTTTTCCAACGCCGGTCTCCGATCATCGAAGACGGACCTCGGCGTCGGCACCGTCATGCACGTTTGGGCCCCAAAAGCTCACATCAAATCCAAGCCCACGTTAATCCTCATCCACGGCATAGGCGCCAACGCAATGTGGCAATGGAACGACTTCATTTCACCCCTCATGTCCCGATTCAACGTCTACGTCCCGGACCTTCTCTTCTTCGGCGATTCCTACACGACCCGACCCGAACGTTCCGAGCAGTTCCAGGCACAGTGTGTCATGCGGGTCATGGAGGCCCATGGGGTCATGGTTATGAACGTTATCGGGATCAGTTACGGCGTCTTCGTCGGTTACAGTATGGCGGCACAGTTCAAGGAGAGAGTGAAGAAGTTGGTGCTATGTTGCGGTGGGGTTTGTATGGAAGAGAAAGATATGGATGAAGGGATGTTTATGTTGCGGAAGACGGCTATCAGATAGAGCAAAATCGCAACTGATAATTTGAGAAAATAAAAATAAAGATAAAAAGAGACGCAAAATTTACGTGGAAAACCCCTAAATAAAATAGGGTAAAAACCACGGGTAACGGTAGAAGAATTTCACTATGAGAAAATAGGAATTACAACCTCTCTCGATCTACCAAGGAGAAAACAATTCTCAAGAAACTCTATAAATTCTCTAGTATTGGAAGAAAGCTAAAATGCTTTGGGATGATTTTGAAGTTAAATAAGCTAGGATATTTATAGTTGAAGCTTAATGACTAATTAGTAAATACCCTAAATTACAATGACTAAAATTGAGATTTTACCATTGTTGATTTTCAACAAATAGCCAACCCTTTTTGACAAAATTGGTGGCTGCCACCGAAAGTGGCTTGGCCACTTGTTTATTTTTCAACAATCTCCACTTGAAGATTTGATTGGAACAATCATATCTTCACACCATTCTTTCTACCTTGTACCATCATGTTTCTTATGTCTCTGACAGGCCACAAGAGGATCGACACCAAGTAAATTTATCAGCGTTGATCGCATTTGTCATGAAATCTGCTATGTTGTCTTTGGTATGAATCTTCTACATATCTACTGTCCCTTCTTCCACCTTTTCACGAATGAAATGGTATTAAACTCGTATGTGTTTTGTCCTTGAATGAAATGTTGGATTCCTTGCTAGATGCAAGGCGCTTTGACTGTCACAAAACAGAGAGATATACTCTTGATTGTGCCCAAGCTCCTCCAATAACATCTTCAACCAAATTGCTTCTTTATTGGCTTGTGAAGCTGTTACATATTCTGCTTCTGTTGTGGATGTAGCCACAATTGACTGCAACTTAGAAACTCAGCTTATAGCTCCATCAGCAACTTTGAACACATATCTTGTTGTAGATTTGCTTTTATCCAAATCCCCTGCATAGTCAGAATCTACATACCCATTGATTAGTAAGTTTGATCCTCCGTAACATAATGCAACATTTGAGGTCCCTTTGATGTATCTCAGGATCCTCTTTACTGTATTCCAATACTCTTTGCCTAGATTCGCCATGTACCGACTAACCACTCCCACTGCTTGTGCAATGTCTAGTCTTGTGCATATCATAGCGAACATTAAATTTCCCACTGCTGATGCATACGGTACTCGAGACATCTCCATCCTCTCTTCTTCACTGCTAGGACTCATACTGGAGGATAATTTGAAGTTAATAGGAAGAGGGGTAGAAATTGGCTTACAATCTTGCATGTTGAATCGTGACAAGATCTTTTTCAAGTAATTCTTTTGTGAAAGCCAAATCTTCCTATTACTTCTGTCTCGGTGAATTTGCATCCCTAGAATCTTGTTTGCTGATCCCAAGTCCTTCATTTCAAATTTCCTAGCCAGTTGTGCCTTCAATTCTTCAATATGATCTTTATTGGGTCCTGCAACCAACATGTCATCCACATACAACAACAATATAACAAAATCGTTATCACCAGACCTCTTAAAATAAACACAAGGGTCTGCATTAAGTCTGTTGTATCCAAGGCACATAATGAAGGAATCAAATCTGTTATACCAACACCTCGGCGCCTACTTTAGACCGTACAGAGATTTGTTCAACCTACAAACCAAGTTCTTCTTTTCTTCTTTTTCAAAACCTTCAGGTTGGAGCATATAAATCTCTTCTTCAAGATTTCCATGAAGAAAAGTTGTTTTAACATCTAGCTGCTCTAGATGTAAGTTTAATGTAGCACACATTGCCAAGACTACTCGAACTGTTGTTAGTCGAACCACAGGAGAAAAAATTTCATTGAAATCAATACCTTCTTTTTGAGCATATCCTTTGACCACCAGTCTTGCACGATACATCTCCACTTGATCGTCACCATTTCGCTTGATTTTGAAGACCCATTTGTTATCAATTGGCTTCCTTCCTTGTGGTAGTGGCACAAGGTTCCATGTATTATTTTTATAAAGGGCTTCAATTTCTTCTTGCATCGCCATCATCCATAATGAAGCATCTGAGTTGTTTATTGCCTCCTGGTATGTTGATGGCTCACCGTCATCTGTTAAAAGGCAATATGCAATATTACCTTCTATAACATAATCTGAGTGCCAATTGGGACGTCTTCTCACACGATCTGATTGACGAGTTGTTGGAGCTTCATAACTCTCTGGTTCTTGTTCATCATGTGCTGATTCTGCTTCAGAAGAATCTCCTTGTTCAACCTCCTTTCCACATGTATATGTGTAGTCTCTGACTCTTCAGTGCTACCATCATCTTCTTTTCTTTTTAGTTTATCTTCTACAAAAATAACATCTCTGCTGATAATCACTTTGCGGGCAGTGGGATCCCACAAGCGATAGCCCTTTACACCATCAGCATACCTCAAGAATTTGCATTTCCTGGATTTTGGATCCAGCTTTGAGATTTCTTGGGAGTTGTATATCACGTACACAATACTTCCAAATACATGGAGGTTTGAATAATCAGCTAATTTACCAGTCCACATCTCCAATGGTGTCTTCAGCTCTATTGTAGTTGATGGAGCTCGATTCACCAAATAACAGGCGGTATTGACTGCTTCTACCCAGATTGATTTTTCTAGGCCTGCATCCCTCAACATTGCTCTTGTTTTTTCTAACAAGGTTCTGTTCATCCGCTCTGCCACTCCATTTTGTTGAGGAGTGTTCGCCATTGTGAACTGTCTTTTGATGCCTTCTTTCCTGCAAAAGTCATCAAATTCTTCGCTTGTGTATTCTCCTCCATTATCTGTTCTGAAACACTTGATCTTATTTCCAGAATCAAGTTCCACCCGCGCTTTGAAGTTTTAAAAGTGGAAAACACATCTGACTTCTTCTTAATAGGGTACACCCAACATCTCCTTGAGTAGTCATCAATAAACGAGACAAAGTATTTTGCTCCGCCTAGGGATGTAACTAGTGCTTGCCATACGTCAGAGTGAACCAATTCTAGAACATTTTTGCCTCTAGAATTTGATGTGTTGAATTTCAACCGGTGTTGCTTACTTGTTATGCAATGCTCACACAAAGTAAGTGATACCTTTGTTAAGCCTGGAAGTAGTTTTTGCTCCACAAGGACTTTCATTCCTTGTTCTGACATGTGCCCAAGTTTCTTATGCCATAGCATTGCAGAATCTGAACTACATGAGGCAACATCGGCTTCTGCTTCTAGCAATATCAGCATGTACAAGTTTGCTGCTATCTTTTCGCCTTTCAGCACCACAAGCGCTCCACGGAACACCTTCATGATTCCTTTTCGTGTTTCAATCTTGCTAGCATTATTATCCAACAATCCGTAGGATAATAAATTTTTCTTCAGACCTTTCACGTGCCGCACATCTCGAACAACTTTAATTGTTCCATCATACATCTTCAATTTGATGGTTCCCACGCCAACGATCTCTAAGGCATGCTCATTGCAACTATACACAGATCCTCCTGAGACAGGTTCATAATGATGGAACCATTCTCTTCTTGAGGTCATGTGATATGTTGCTCCCGAATCGATGAGCCATATATCTGCAAATCGTTTTCTTCCTTCCACGGTGGTTGACGCTTAACAGCATAGAGCATATCCATCATCTGAAGTGTTTGCGGTATTGCCTTGTGGATTGGAGTTTTTATTTAGACTCCAACAATCCTTCTTCAAGTGACCCTTCTTTCCACAGTTATAACACTTTAAATTCTTCTTGCTTCTCGACTTCGATCTACCATGTTTGTGACTACTGCTTTGGCCACGTTCTGTTGATCTCCCTCTCATCGTTGTCATCGTTGTCAACGCTTCTGCTTGTTGCAGATTTACTTGTCTGTCTTTCTTGTTCTTGCACCGATTTTCTTCTTGTAGAACAGCAGCTGCAACGTCATCGAAGACTAGACTGGTGACATTACTGTTTGTCAAGTTGATGATGAGTTGATCATATGAATCCGATAGACTTTGAAGTAGAAGTTCAACACGTTCTTGTTCTCTTATTTTACAGCTTAAGGATGTAAGCTGAGAAAATAAAGTGTTCAGTGTATTTAAGTGCTCTGTCACTGAAGTAGAATCTGACATACGGAGAGTGTACAATTTTCTCTTAAGGAAAATTTTATTGTGCAGCGATATGGCCTCGTACAGTTTGGTGAGATGATCACATATCTCCTTAGCTGTCTTTTTCTCCTCGATGCTTAACAATACTTCATCTGCTAATGCTAGATGAAAGTTCCCGTCCATTTCGATCCATTTGTTGTCATCTGTGAAATCCACCGGCATTTCACTGATAGCTGCTAGACAACCGTCTTTCCTCAGAATGGCATTCATCTTCAATTTCTACAATGAGAAATTTCTCCCATTGAATTTTTCAATATCAAATTTTGTTGTCATAGCTTCTTTTACGGATAGCTCCCACTATTTCACTATCATGAATAGTTTTATGGAACATTCAAAGAAAGAGTAATACCTTCTTACTTTCTTATGTTGGAGGATCCACCTTTTGGTGGCAACCACAAAGACAATAAGCAGATATTACACACTCAAATCTGGCTCTGATACCAATTGTTGCGGAAGACGGCTATCGGATAGAGCAAAATCGCAACTGATAATTTGAGAAAATAAAAATAAAGATAAAAAGAGACACAAAATTTACGTGGAAAATCCCTAAATAAAATAGGGTAAAAACCACGGGCAACGGTAGAATAATTTCACTATGAGAAAATAGGAATTACAACCTCTCTCGATCTACCAAGGAGAAAACAATTCTCAAGAAACTCTCTAAATTCTCTAGTATTGGAAGAAAACTAGAATGCTTTGGGATGGTTTTGAAGCTAAATGAGCTAGGGTATTTATAGTTGAAGCTTAAGGACTAATTAGTAAATACCCTAAATTGCAATGACTAAAATTGAGATTTTACCATTGTTGATTTTCAACAAATAGTCAACCCTTTTTGACAAAATTAATGGCTGCCACCGAAAGTGGCTTGGCCACTTGTTTATTTTTCTACAGTTTAAAGTGAAGAGCGTGGATGAGGCTGTCAGTATTTTGTTGCCCCAAACGTCCGAAAAGATGAGAGAATTGATGAAGATTTCGTTTTATAAGCCTGCTAAAGGACTTTCCACTTGTTTTCTAAACGATTTCATCAATGTAAGTGAAGCTTCTCTAATTCTTTTGGAATCATTGTTTCTTCTTCGACTACATTTCTGGGTTTCCCCCCCTGAAATAGTGGTCTTATAGTATGATCGTCTTAAGTTTTTACCGGAATTCGATTCTGTTGGCAGGAAATGTGCACAGACGAAAAGAATTGATCCAAGCATTACACAAGGACCGAAAGCTGTCGGATCTTCCAAAGATAACTCAGGTTATGGCAGTTTGTCTGGAATTTTGATGTTCTTCTATTCTGGGATCTTTACTGAGTAAATGTTGTTCTTATGTGTAGCCAACACTAATAATCTGGGGAGAATATGACCAAATATTCCCCTTGGATTTGGCATACAGATTGAAAAGGTAACTAATATCGTATATCGGGTTCTTTTTTCCCTGAGTCTGAAATTTGTTTTCGTTGTAATAGTGATGTTAAGCTGCTCATGCAGGCTTCTGGGAGACAATGCAGAACTAGTGATCATAAAGAATGCAGGGCATGCGATCAATATAGAGAAGCCTAAAGAGTTATACAAGCACTTCAAATCTTTCCTTATTGATTCACTCCCTGCTTCGAAACCCGGAAATTATAGAAATGGCTGTAAAACAGATTGAAAGGTATGCAAAAAGATCCAAGATAGTGTCTTGTAAGATTTTTTGTTCAAGTTCTTCCGATTAAATTGCAGATAATCATTCCCAGTATTCCATAGTCAGATGAAGGCATTTGTTACTCAGATTAAGCGTGCTTCATACATTTGGAATTTATGTATGAATTCTCAAATCTCAAGCTTCAATTGGCATCAAAGTTGCAGAAGAAAATTGTTTACATTTTTTTATCATATAAAAAATATCAATGCAATCATCATCTTCAAAAGTCAAAACATTGCTGCAATCTATGTTATTGGTTTACAGTTTTGGTGGGACGATTTCCTATTGCCTGTACTTGGTTATCTAATAAATATATTCTGCTTAAATCACAACTTTTGCATGTGGGGTAATGTTCTTGTAGTCTGTCGTGCACCTTACAACATTCAAATGAAGATGGCATAATAAAGGAAATTAGACATTGTTCATTGCCTTCTTCAAGCAGCAGTGCAGAAAACTCTACAGAAAAAAATATACTCTTATGTATAATATATATATATATATATTCTCAATATCATAAAATTATCTAGCTATATGTATGTGTGTGTATATATATATATATATAAATCTAACCATGCTGTATGTTTATCTTTAATATCATTATTTTCTTTTATAAACTATTTTTCATGACATCAAATTTGAATTGACAAATTTTCACTTAAAACTATTATCTAAACAATACAATAACATTCTTTTTTATAATTTTAATTTCTTTTTCAACTAGAGTTGTTCATGAGTTGAGTCGGTCACGTTTATGCATAAAATTTATTGTTCATCGGTTAAACTTAAATTATGTACATCAAGTTTTATTAAAATTTATTTCTATTTGTAGATGTCTAATTCCAGTCTGATTTAGATCCACTCATATCATTTTTATTTTTTAAGATCATTTATTTTATTTTAATTTTAATATTTAATAATTTTTATATATTTTATTCTATTAAATTTGTTTGTGAGGTTTCTTTCAACTTTGATGTATGCATTTCTTTTGTTATTCAAAAAGTGGGAGTAGTAGATTGCGGATGAGGAATAGTGTGTTTCAAAATCTTTGTGCTATAATTCATGCTTTTGATAGAGAAGTGTTTTGGGAAATAATTTGGGAAATGCCCACTCCTCCAAGTCTCCAACCATTTCTTAAGAACCTTTTTTTTGTTTTTTGTTTTACTTTAATTTTATTAAATTATTAACATCGTTCAAATTAAGTAATCAACCTATGAGAAATGAATTTAGTCTGGTCACTACAATAGAGGGACCCGGCATGTAATTTCACCTAGAAAATATAAGGGTAAGCTATACAAATGGTTACTAATTTGAGTATGTTTTATTTTTCCCACTAAGTTTTAAAATGGTCACAATTAGACTACTGATCTGGCACCATTTGACCACGAAGGATAGTAATTTTGACTGCATTTGACTCGTCTTCTTTAAGGAGAACCCCCAACGTGCGTAAGAACACCAAAGTAGAGAGCAGCAACCCTTCCATTTATTTGATGTGGAAAACATTGGCATCTGCAACTTCATCAATCTTGACAAAACTAAGCACATAAGGAGCAGAATTTTCCAAAGATATTGCCCCAGAAATAGATTCACTGTCATCATATGATATCATGGCTTTAAGAGAAACTAAAAGAAAACTTGCATGGTGATCATCATGGGATGCTTTCATACCCAAATCAACTTCAAGAGGAACCATAACTACATCAGAGGAGTCTTGTCAAGACCTTTGTACCTGCATGCAGGAAGGACCAATTTTTTTCCATTAGATTCAAAGGATAAAATAATCTCTACGTGATCTCACTGCTTTGAGGGTTAATCTCCCACTTCATGTTTGGCCTCATAACCATAAGTGGAAAACTATATTTACACTGTTCGTGACCAACCAATCTTCAGCAGCAAGTAAGCTTTCCCCATTATAGCCCTTGAAATTTTCTATAATATAAACAGCTTCAGCATGATAGGTTGAATTCTCAAGAGAATATGATATCCGTGACCATGAAGTTATTTCTTCCACATGGTTGGTTTCATCAAAAGGATTGAACAAAGATAAATTCTTACTCAACTGCACACTAGAAGGAATATATGGGCTTATTAAGTTGAATTTCGTAGGGGGACTCGATATAAAATCCCTTAGCCTGAACCAGGAAACCACCGGAGCTTGTCTGTAAGATAAGGTGAGCTGATGAAAATCCACCCCATCTAGGTAAAAATACAAAACATATTGGAGCTACTTCACAAGGTCCAAGTTAAATCTCACTAAAATTGCAGGGATAGGACTGTATATTGGTGCTGAATGGTTCATGAATGTGTAAAATGCTTTCGGTGCATGTATTTGCTACTGTCAAATAAGCCACTAAAGGAAAAAAATAAAAAGTTCCGTCCCAATCCATTATAGGTGGATTGATCTCTACATTAGGTGAAGATAAATTGTCAAAAGAACTCAATTCTGACACCTTTTTGTGCCTTTTCATACTAATACTTGTACTCTTATGACTTAGTAAAGGTTCTCTACATGAAGAAATATTATGTTGATTAGCACCATAAGTATGAACTGATGAAAGCTCATGGATGCCAGGTCTTGAATATAAAGAACATGAAACCGTTGGACCATTTAAGGAATTTAAACATGCTATGGTTAGATAACCAACTTCTGTTACTTGCTTACATCCTAAGGTTACTTTGTTCTACATGAGATGAAGCACTGATGACCACCGAGTTGTAGCGCAGAAGATGATGAGAATTCTACATTTGAAAGAAGAAAAATCTATAGCGAGTTAAAATGGATGACATGCATTTAGTTGTAGCTAGCAAGAAAGTGGAGCCGCAGTGCGTGGAGATGATTGTGCCTTTGTATTCTCACGGATGTGAGAGGAAAGTCAAGAAGAATTTGTCCCATCTCAAAGGTACTTTTGAATTAACTTTCTGAATAATTAATATTAAAAAAACCCAGGCAAAAACCCACCTACTTCAAGTGTAGAATCTTCAGTCAAAAAACCTAGGCAGTGTTGAAGGAAAACAGAACGAATGAGAATTGGTGCACAAACTCTCAACACTTAAACGAGTCATGAAAGTTCTAGTATCATCACTAGGATGTGTATCACCGATGATAGATTCTTGAAAGCCCACATATAGGATAAGTTAAGATTTTCTTAGGAATTGAGGGTTAAGAATTAGAGTTTCTCCTTAAGGAAGACGAGTTAGATGCGGTCAAAGTTATTATCCTACGTGGTCAAATGGTACCAGATCAGTAATCTAAGGCGCCACATTGGCATTATGTCATCTCAGTAGTAGCCGTTAACGATCTAGTGACTGATTTGTTATAAAACGATATATTAGTGATCATTTTGTAACTTTTTAAACTTAATGCGGTAGAAACGAAAAATTACTCAAACTCTAGTGACCATTAGTGTATTTTACTCCAAATATAATCTTTTAATTAAGGGGAAAAACCTTGGCAAACGTCATAATCCATCGTATCAATCCAACGGTAGGAAATGAATAGAGCAAAATGACACAAATCTACCTAGAAAATCAGAGAATAAAACCCTACATGTAGAGACTCTAACCTCATCCTTCACCTGCCTTTTGTTCTTCTGCAAAAGCGCCTCACTATATCCTTTCTCTCTTCCTTCCCAGAGAGCAAGACACTTAGGAGCCAACAAGGTTTGACCATTTCCCCTAAATTTTGAATTAATTGCTATATTTTTTTGGTTCTATTTTGCTTTTAAATTTGGGTTACCGGTTTGTTTAATTGTTTTAGCTGTTAAACTGCGGTGTAAGTATTGAGAATTTTAATATCATATCGATTTCATGGCTGATACACATTTTCATTTCTTGTGCTTATTGTATTATGTTTATTCTTTTATTTATAAAGTTTTGTTTGACCGTTTTGGTTTTTGGGTGGTGGATTGTTGACCCTAGTTGATATAGAATTTGCATTAATTTGGTTAGCATTGGATAAGTACTTTGTTTGGAATATCAAAAGAGGGGGGGGGGAGCTTTTTGCTACTAAAGGAAGAAAGAAATGGGTTTGGATAGAATGGTTGAAATAAGTATTAAATTATATAACGGTCGCATGGTAACATTTTTCAAGGTTACCATGACACCGCATCTGCAACATAAAACGGAGTTATTTTTAGGAAATAAATCATGTCCGCAACATCCGCAACAACGACGACAACCGCAACCGCAATTTAGTACATGATTAGTAGGAATAACTTGGAAAACACATGTGTTCAACAAGCCTTGATAATATTTAAGGAAATGAATACACACACATACATATAAATGAAAACTAGCTTTTGACGGCATGAATCAAGAAAAAAATGCAGGTTGGGCTTTAACTGCGGATCAGAATAAGTTATTCAATGCTGGGGCCACTAGATGGTTGGTAAAGTTTTGTTGATGTTAGGGTATTTGAAAATAGTTTTTTTAGCGTGAGCAAAGCACGTCATTCGAAATTTGGAGATGTTGCTACTGATATCGGTTTTGGTCACTTTGGCTTTTCCACTGTTAAGGGTAATTGTGGCCTTATTGAAGTGTTGCCAGCTGCTGTGCAATTTGTTAGTTGGATGTTGGGTATTTCTTTCTTTGCTTCTGCTCAAGGGAGGGTTAAAGATAGGCTGATTGTTGAGAGTGATAGCAGGGTTTCAGTAAACTGGATCAACAATGTCGACTCATGCCCAGTTGTTTATGCCTTCGTT